TTGGATTGAATATTCTTAACCAAGCACCAAGATACATTGATTCATTCTTCTCTCATAAGATTGTCCCTGTTCTGTTCTTAAATGTCTTCTCAGATACTATGGATTTTTTAAATAAGCCCTTAGCCTTTTAGATGTAGCAAAGTACAAATCTTAAATAAATACTTCGAATTTTGCTTCTGATATTTGGTATATCTGTGACTAGTAGTATACATCTTAAGAAAAGGTTCATTCTATATGTCAGTTTTCATAGAACTTTCCATTTTAAGAAACAGAGTTCTAGCTCACAAAACTCAGGTGCCAACCAGGCATCAAGAGGAAATACTAAATTGTATTTATTTGATAAACAAGCATTTTAGTATTGTATTCTTCCTTCAACTACAGATGTACCTCATTTTATTACACTTTGCTTTATTGAATTTTTCAGAGAGCATTTTTTACAAATTGAATGTTTGGGGCAGCCCTGCATTGAGCAAGTCTGTCGGTGCCATTTTTCCAGCAGTATTTGTTCACTTCATGTCTCTGTGTCACATTTTGGTAATTCTCACAATATTTCAAAACGTTTTCATTATTGTTATATTTTTTATGGTGACCTGTGGTCAGTTATCTTTGATGTTACTATTGTAATAGTTTGGGGGGACCATGAACCACACCTGTATGACAGCAAGCTTAATTGATAACTGTTGTTTGTGTTCTAAGTACTCTACTGTCCAAGTGTTTCCCCATCTCCCTCCCTCTCCTCGGGCCTCCATATTCCCTGAGAGACAACAATATTGAAATTAGGCAAATTAATAGCCCTACAATGACCTCTAAGTGTCCAAGTAAAAGGGAGAGTGGCACATCTCTCACTTTAAATCAAAAGCTAGAAAGCTTAGAGGGGAAGGCATGTTGAAAGCCAGGACAGGCTGAAAGCTAGGCCTCTTGTGCCAACAGTTAGCCAAGTAGTGAATGAATGTGAAGGAAAAGTCCTCGAAGGAAATTATAAGTGTTATTCCAGTGAACACATGAATAAGAAAGTGAAACTGGGAATTCCCTGGCTGTCTAGTGGTTAGGACTTGGTGCTTTCACTGCCCAGGTTCAATCCCTTGTTGGGGAACTAAGATCCCACAAGCTGCATGATGTGGTTAAGAAAAAAAAAAAAAAAAAGTGAAACAGCCTTTTTTGCTGATACGTAGAAAGTTTTAGTAGTCTGGATAGAAGACCACACCAGCTACAACATTCCCTTAAGCCAGAGCCTAATCCAGAGCAAGGCCCTAACTCTCTTCAATTCTGTGAAGGCTGAGAGAGGTAAGGAAGCTTCAGGAGAAAAGTTTGAAACTAGCAGAAGTTAGTTCATGAGGTTTAAGGAAAGAAGCCGTCTCTATAATATGAAAGTACATGGTGAAGCAGCAAGTTATCCAGAAGATCTAACTAAGATAATGAAGGTGGCTACACTAAACATCAGATTTTCAATGTAGCTGAAACAGCTTTCTATTGGGAGAAAAAGCCATCTAGGACTTTCATAGCTAGAGAGGATAAGTCAGTGCCTGGCTTCAAAGCGTCAAAGGACAGGCTGACTCTCTTGTTAGGGGCTAATGCAATACAGGTGGTGACTTTAAGTTGAAGGCAGCGCTCATTTACCATTCCAAAAATCCTACAGCCCTTAAGAATTATGCTAAATCTCTTCTGCCTGCGCTTTACAAATGGAACAACAAACCCTGGATGACAGCACATCTGATTACAACATGGTTTTCTAAATATTTTAAGCCCACTGTTGAGACCTACTGCTGAGGAAAAAAAGATTCCTTTCAAAATATGACCCTGACTGGAGAGGATTGGTGGCGTGAACACAGCCTGAAGGGGTTAGTGAACCACGGCTAGCCGGGAAGGGAGTCTGGGAAAAAGTCTGGAGCTGCCAAAGAGACAAGAGACTTTTTCTTGCCTCTTTGTTTCCTGGTGCGCGAGGAGAGGGGATTAAGAGCGCTGCTTAAAGGAGCTCCAGAGATGGGCGCGAGCTGCGGCTAAAAGCGCGGACCCCAGAGATGGGTATGAGACGCTAAGGCTGCTGCTGCCGCCACCAAGAAGCCTGTGTGCGAGCACAGGTCATTCTCCACACCTCCCTTCCGGGGAGCCTGTGCAGCCCGCCACTGCCAGGCGTCCCAGGATCCAGAGACAACTTCCCCGGGAGAACGCATGGCGTGCCTCAAGCTGGTGCAATGTCCTGCCGGCCTCTGCCGCCGCAGGCTCGCCCAGCATGAGCACCCCTCCCTCCCCCTGGCCTGAGTGAGCCAGAGTCCCCGAATCAGCTGCTCCTTTAACTCCGTCCTCTATGAGCAAAGAACAGACGCCCTCCGGCGACCTGCATGCCGAGGCGGAGCCAAATCCAAAGCTGAACCCCTGGAGCTGTGAAAACAAAGAAGAGAAAGGAAAATCTCTCCCAGCAGCCTCAGGAGCAACAGATTAAATCTCCACAATCAACTTGATGTACCCTGCATCTGTGGAATAACTGAATACACAACGAATCATCCCAAATTGAGGAGGTGGACTTTGAGAGCAAGATTTATTATTTTTTCCCCTTTTCCTCTTTTTGTGAGTGTGTATGTGTATGCTTCTGTATGAGATTTTGTCTATATAGCTTTGCTTTCACCATTTGTCCTAGGGTTCTCTCTGTCCGTTTTTTCTTTTTGTTTTTTTTTTTACTATTTAAAAAAATTTTTTTCTTAATAATTATTTTTTATTTTAATTATTTTATTTTACATTTATTTTATTTTATTTTATCCTTTGTCTTTCTTTCTACCTTTTCTCCCTTTTATTCTGAGCCATGTGGATGAAAGGCTCTTGGTGCTGCAGCCAGGAGTCACTGCTGTGCCTCTGAGGTGGGAGGGCCAACTTCAAGACACTGGTCCACAAGAGACCTCCATGCTCCACGTAATATCAAACAGTGAAAATCTCCCAGAGATCTCCATCTCAACACCAACACCCAGCTTCACTTAATGACCAGCAAGCTTCAGTGCTGGAAACCCTATGTCAAACAACTAGCAGGACAGGAACACAACCCCAAACATTAGCAGAGAGGCTGCCTAAAATCATAAAAAGGCCACAGACACCCCAAAACACACCACCAGACTTGGACCTGTCCACCAGAAAGACAAGATCCAGCCTCATCCACCAGAACACAGGCACTAGTCCCCTCCACCAGGAAGCCTACACAACCCACTGAACCAACTTTAGCCACCGGAGACAGACGCCAAAAACAACGGGAACTACGAACCTGCAGCCTGCAAAAAGGAGACCTCAAACACAGTAAGGTAAGCAAAATGAGAAGACAGAAAAACACACAGCAGATGAAGGAGCAAGATAAAAACCCACCAGACCTAACAAATGAAAAGGAAATAGACAGTCTACCTGAAAAAGAATTCAGAATAATGATAGTAAAGATGATCCAAAATCTTGGAAACAGAATAGAGAAAATGCAAGAAGCATTTAACAGGGATCTAGAAGAACTAAAGATGAAACAAGCAACAATGAACAAATAATACATGAAATTAAAAATACTCTAGAAGAGATCAATAGCAGAATAACTGAGGCAGAAGAACGGATAAGTGACCTGGAGGATAAAATAGTGGAAGTAACTACTACAGAGGAGAATAAAGAAAAAAGAATGAAAAGAACTGAGGACAGTCTCAGAGACCTCTGGGACAACATTAAATGCACCAACATTCGAATTATAGGGGTTCCAGAAGAAGAAGAGAAAAAGAAAGGGACTGAGAAAATATTTGAAGAGATTATAGTTGAAAACTTCCCTAATATGGGAAAGGAAATAGTTCATCAAGTCCAGGAAGCACAGAGAGTCCCATACAGGATAAATCCAAGGAGAAACACGCCAAGACACATGTTCATCAAACTGTCAAAAATTAAGTACAAAGAAAACATATTAAAAGCAGCAAGGGAAAAACAACAATTAACACACAAGGGAACCCCCATAAGGTTAACAGCTGATCTCTCAGCAGAAACTCTGCAAGCCAGAAGGGAGTGGCAGGACATATTTAAAGTGATGAAGGAGAAAAACCTACAACCAAGATTACTCTACCCAGCAAGGATCTCATTCAGATTTGATGGAGAAATTAAAACCTTTACAGACAAGCAAAAGCTGAGAGAGTTCAGCACCACCAAACCAGCTTTATAACAAATGATAAAGGATCTTCTCTAGGCAAGAAACAAAGAGAAGGAAAAGACCTATAATGACAAACCCAAAACAATTAAGAAAATGGGAATAG